GTTTTAACTTACAGTGATATAAATGTTCTGATTTTCTCCTATTGTGTTCGACATTGAGATCAAAATATACACTTGCTTGATTTTAAGGGGTAAGTAATAACAGTAATTTGTTATATGCAAGTAATTTATCAGCCACAAGTAGCAAAACTAAATTCATTTTTTTTAAATGAGTGTGTTTTTGCAACCTTCCTAATTATATGCGAAGATTCCATGTGGGCTTTCCTGTATAGGCCTTCTTTATGTCTCTTCAGTCTACCAAGAATCAGATTTTGACTCAGATGACGTAAGTGGTTTTCACTGAATAAATGATTATGTCTTAAATGTGTGCTTCTGAGATCACCATGTACTCTAAGTGCTTTTTCTTTAAAAGATCTGCCCAAATGAAGCAGGATTGAATGGATTTCTTTTCTACAAATATTTTACTGCTTTCTGATGAAGTCTTTCTGATGATAATGAGAAACTTTCCTTTAACTCACTCGTGTCCTTGACGTGGAGAGATGCACACGTTCTCATGCACATGTTCTTAAAGTCAATCTGAATAATGATGGAAATAAATGGGGGGGGGGGGAAATAACTTTTAAAAGGATCATGAAAAGATGCTAATGTTGCAATTTAAACTATTTTGAATTTTCAAATGTCCCTCAATTTTTTCCCTAGTTTTTAAAGGTATGGTATTTTGATGTATATTTTAACGTCAAAACATGCTCTCTGCAAAAGTCAAAATAACAATAATCATAAAATAAACGTAAACTTAAACTTAAAATCAAAATTGTTAAAGATGTGGTAGAGACTAGTAACACATTTCCTGGTTTATATAGAAGTCCAGGGTTTGCTTGATTTTCAGGATTTTTATAGTGTTCAGGGTCTTATGCATAAATATGCATGAATATTGTAAATGTTATATTGGAAGATTGAAATAAAATTGACTTTAACAAAACATTTATAGGATGTATCTACAAGATTCCCTTTCATTCGGGTCTTAGCTTACTCATCCTTGAATATCCTGTTCCTTATCATGGTTTGCAAAAGGATGGTTGAGCACCATCAGTGCTGGTGCTAATTTGTACTTGTCAAATGATTTTGCAATGCACAACCTGTAAATCAGGTGCCTCCAAAGTGAAAGCACTTAAGATCAAGAACAGCAGGTATAAAACCAAATTAACCAAGACTCCTTGCTGGGCTATCCAACACGATGCTAGGAATGAACAAAAATAAATATTCTTTTGCTTTGACTTTTTAATCACGGACTTTTAAATCATTTAACCTCATGCAGGCTGAATGAGAATGAACTGAACTGATGCTATCTGTTGGGTTCAGATATTTTTCAGAGGCCTGAGTCGATACACCAGGCATTATTCTGTATCCTATCCTTCCTATTATGATTCCTTCCTTTCTATTGCTTGATCTCTTTACTTGTCTTGATCTCTTTAACTCTTCTTTGGAAAGCTTATGCTGAAATAGATCAATTCTTCTCACTTCTTCCTCTCCCTTTTTCATTTTGATTTTATTATTAATATTTGGAAAGCTCCTACACAGAAACACTCTTGCGCAGATTCAGATAACTAGTTTGTCTAATCACTAGGTCAGGGTTCACTTATGAGTCTTTCTCAGCCCTCTCTTCTGTTATTTCTACCTGGGAATGTGAAGGATTTACCTGAAGATCATATATATTTAGACCATGCATTGTCCCATAGGCATAATGACTCCTTACATTCTGCAGCAGTAGAACATCATGCTGCTACTAGAAGGCTTCCCTGAATGTGATACAGTCCTCTTGGATTAAAGGGCTCTAAACAACCTTGGGATGTTGAGAAAAAGTTTAAGGGAACCACATATTGCTCTCAGCTTTACAAGAACATTTCTAATTAAATAGTGACCAAGAAAACCCTTTGATTGGGTCTTCATAAGTTAATGTGAAGGCACATAATAAGATCAAATATCTATATGTTGCTTCCTAACCCCTGGCTTTTTTGTTATATTGCCTTCCCCCATTTTGTGTTAGACCCTGGACTCCCTTTGACTCTGATTGTGGGTGAGAACTAATGTTCTTTGCATCTTTTCAACTTAGGCCTTGAACTCCCTTTGAGATTCACTCAGCCTAGGCTCTGCCTGGCAAACAGCAATGACAGGTCAATGTCAGCTTTATCCAACTAAAAAGAATTTTTTTGGTTTGTTCTGGCCCAGAGCGAGATGCATTGTTCATTCCCCTTTTAAAGAACAAGTTCATTATTTTATCATCTGGCCAAGTCATAAATACTACCAAAGTCTCATGAACATCTAAAAACAGCTGATTCTGTTTGGCATCATAATTTCCCCAATTTCTGTATAGACATCGACATCTTCCATGCTTGCAAATTTTTAGTACACAATGTATCTCTGCCTATCCGAACTGATTCATGTAGGTTGAGGCTCGGTAATTTGTTCTTCATCATCTCTCTCCCTCCTCCCCTTGCTCTATTATTTGTGTTGAATAAACTGTATATCATCTGCTTAAGATGTACAAAAATAAGAGAAATAAAAACTGGATAATTATGTTGGGGTCTCTGTCCTTGGACACCTTATTCCAGGATCAAATAGTCAGTGAGGTAGTTCCAAAGTATAGTAATTGGAGAATTTCATCCTTGATCTCGTTTAATGAGAACTCAAATGATTCTGGATTTGTGAAATGCATCCTTTTAGGTATCTCTATGCTGTAGGCAACTTCCTATATCACTAATGCGCTTGGAAAGATGATTGACAGAGCAGGTTTCCACAATTTTACATTGCCTTTTGAGTCATAATAGCAGATGTTATGGAGCAATGTCAGGTTGACACTGGGCCTCAGGCATAAGAGCAGCAGAACAGAGATGTCTGTCCACAGTACTTAATTAACTGGCTCTTCAAAGGGACTGATATCTTTTGTAACACTTGTGCATATAATGGCAGCTACTTATGAAAAGCTTTTTGTTCTCTCTCATGCAGACTGTATCCAATCAGGGCAAACATTTATTGAACTTAGTCTGTGATCTTCCAACAGTTAGAAGGTCTTTTCAGAACGAACTGATTGTGCCCTCTGCCCTTTTCTCCAGCCTAACCATAAAGCTTTCATATCTCAAATGTTCCAGCAGGGAGGTTTTTACTTGATATTCCAGACTGTAGCCCTCTTTTACATCTGCATTTGAAGAAATAGGTCTGACACCCAAATGTAAACTGACTGTCAGTATTGCTTAAGTTCAAATACAAATATGAACGACCATCAGAAAAACGCCAGTCAGCCTGCTGAAAGAGGCATCATTTCAGTGGATGTGAAGACTACATTTGGCAGATGAGCTGAACCTGTAAAATGAGATTCCAAATGCATCTTCTTATAACTTCTGAGGAAATGTCAGGAGAGAATGCTTCTAGAACATGGCCATACCAAAAAATCTGCAACAACCCATCTTCTTATATTCCAATATATCAGATCAACCTTTAACCATGATATATATGATGCAGACATGTTGATATGAGAATTAATGGAAATAACAAAATGTTTAAAATGGTAAAAAAGGAAATTGTTTGACATATCTTTAGCTAAAGTACACTATCCTTAGATGACTTTCTTATCTACCTACATTCTTTTCTCTTTTCTGTGCTCCATTATTCATTGTGCTGAAACACTGTGTTCTAAGTGGTTTTGACTCTAAAATGTTTGTGAATAGATGAAAAATTCCCATGAATGAAACCATTCAACAGGCAACTTTTCTGCCTATCCAACCCTGATTAGCCCACCAAGTCACCTTCACCAATGTTTTCTCAAAGAAGCAGAAGAATGCAAGACTTGTGAGCTTCCCATAGGCATCTAGATGAACATTGTTTGAACAAGATACTGGAATAGGTAGGTCTTTGGTCTGATTCAGCATGGTGCTTCTGCTGTATTTTTTTCTCTGTGGTGGGTTGTGGCTCTGGAAGCTACGACATGCTTCACAAACACTTCACCAAGAGAAGACATTCAAATTAAAGAACTGAACACACCTGAGAAAATGTGACAAGAAGTAGAATAAGGTAGATGTGAGACACTGTAGCACTGATACTGTAGCACTTCAGACAGCAAACAGTGATGACGTTTAAATGGCTTCTCCTGGACATAAACTCTTCCCACAGTTAGAAAACTACTTCCATGGCAGGGAATTCTAATCTTTCTCCTTGAGGTTGCTGCATTTTGCTTGCTGAGAGGGTTTGCTCTCTTTACACATGGATCATTCAAACATGGTATCTTTCACTTGTGATCTGAAGTGGAAAAGACAACTTTGTCTCTTATCCAAGACTCAGAAAAGAGGAAGTAGTTAAGGAGACGTACTTAGAACAATCTTGGGATGGGGTTTAAATCTTGATCTGGTGATTCCCACTCCAAAGAATCAGCCTTTTATAGATAGTACCATCTTGGATTTTGTTTTTCATCTTGCTAGAGCAGGGCAGGATGCTGAGATCTAAATAGATTTATATTCAGTACATTTATGTTTATTATTGCCCTCTCCTGATATTGAATCTTAGTGCACAAAAGCAAACTATGGTGTCTCAAACAAGTTCTACTTCCAGTATCTATGTTTTCTCTAGAAATGTTCATGTGTACATCATGAATGGATGTCCAAAGCACATTCATTTGAGTGTATTGATTGAAGAAAGCTGTCTCAAAATGCACAGAAGAGTGAAGGCGTTGGACCTGAGATACCTAAACTGCTTTAACTTTCATGTGTATATCTAAATGCAACAACTTATATGTCAAAGTTGGCCATCAATAGAAGATATTTAAGAAATATGGAAGGCTTTCTTTTACAGTTTTAATCCCCCTGATCTTCTAGAATTCCAGGAAATGAAGTCTAACTATTCTCTACCACACTAAAAGAAGATTAAATATATACCTTTATGTTTATGTATATTTAAATACCTTCATAAATAAAAGCAGAGAAACAAACCTAGGATGTTTTAACTATTTCATTGACTTTTCAGATTGTTTTTAAGCTGTTTTTTAAACTTTAAAGGCAACACTGATACTGCGTTCCAATTGGTAAAACAGAAAATCCCCTTCAAATATAACCGGCCCGTAGAGGAATGGCTGCAGGAAAAAGGTAACACTTGTTAAAGCTTTCATTTTAAATCCATTTTTATTCTAAACCCTCATTTTTAAAGCCTGCAAATAAATGTTTCTTAAATTAGAATCGCCTGCTGCATAAATGACTCTTTTAATTTTCATTATAATTTGTGTCAACTTCCACCTGCCATATGTCGATAAATCATGCTATAATACATTGCTATTAAAACAAAGTTAAAGGGACAGAATTCTAAGCTTATTATCAAAAGGAAACAAGCAAGAAACAAAAATTAAGAAGCCATTTTAAACAAACAAAAAGGCACAAAAACATGTATTATGGCAATTTAACCACTGCATGAACTTTTAAAAATAATAATATTTAAACTACATTTATATTGAATTATGTTTAGAATCAAATGTGTTTTCTAAAAATCTTTGGAATTCTATTTTTTCAAGCACTTACTTTCAGTTCTTCCCCACCCACACTCTTTTTTCACAGTGATAAAGCTATGGTTTTTCTAATCATTTTAATGTACATAATCTGTTTGGGGTATTTCCTCTGGATTCCCCAAGCTGTAGAAAACACAACATATTTAATATTATATAAATTATTTAAAAAATACTGTTGAGCCTTTTCTAAATCTAAGTGTTCTTCAGACTATGCATTCACATTGTTTCGGTGATCCTTTTCCACAGGGGAAATTTTGCATATTGAAAATAAACTACAACGCACCATCCATTATTGAATGTGGATAATGGATAATGAAGGAAACCCAAGTGGATTATTGGAACAGAGTTATAGATACATTTCTGCAACACTAATATTTCTATATATCTATATCAGTAGATAATATTAGTGTGAACCAGTCTGTATTCCCAGATTAGCCATACATTCAGCTGCAATTCTAGAATACACATCTGTGAATAAACCCAATTGGATATAATCAGACTGGCACAGGAGACATGTACTCAACTGTTGTGAATCTATATCTGGATGCAGATTTCAACATCAATATTTTTTCAGTCCCAGTGATTTTGGTGGGGCAATATGTAGCCCCCAGGAGGCAATTTAAATAAGCACATAGATGTTCCAATGGTTTCATAAGACTTCTGCATGTTGTGAAGGTTTTCCAATAGGAAAACCTTTGTTTTGCATCCTGGTGATTTGTTAAAATTAATGGAGAACTTCTTCAAAGAAAAGGGCAGTCAACGGTCTCACTGATGTCACTTGAAACTTACCACAAGTAAATTTCAAAGTCTTCAGTCACCAATATCTTTAAAGCTCTGTTATGATACTCAAGTGCACATCAGAACATAGGTTTCTTCTCTCAACAAAGTTCTTCTTGCTGGATGACAATTTGATCTTGGATGTCCACTGTTTGTGGAACTATTCTTAGCATGGAAAATTGCAGAGACCCTTCAAAAATATCACTATATATTTGAGATGAATGCAACACTTGAAGCCTTGGCATTTATTGACCTTTACTGTATTGTTCTCCTAACAATGATAGACCCATTGATCTACTGAATCTATTAGAATTATCTATAGGATGACTAACACATTGAATAATTGATAAATGGGTCAACTCTAGCCAGGACTAACCAAATGATACCAGCTGTTACATTAAATCCTACATATATTTTTCAGAAACTATTGCTGGATCTACACTGCCCTATAACCAAGGATCTGATCCCAGATTATCTGCTTTGAATTGGATTATATGAGTCTATACTTCCAGATAATCTGGGTTCATCAGAAAATCTGGGATCAGATCCTGGGATATAAAGCAGTGCCGATTCAGCTTATAACTAGGCACATTTTTTAGCTCAAAGAGCTTTGAAAGCAAGGCTTCTGAAATGTCCGAAGTCCTTAAACTATCTGAAGTGAAAGAAAGGGCTGATTTCACACTGTTTGCTTCCCTTCAGCAAAATGTTTTCTGATTAAATTATCCCGCATTGGAATCAAGTCTTTAGGTCAGAGGTCATTTAGTGTCTGGCTTGGATCTGGAACATCCCTGGGAGCACTTGTCTTCAGCTCACCTTGATATGCTATAATATCAGTAATGACTCCAGGGATTAAGGGAGTTTCTGCTGGAGTTATTCTGGGGTCAAATTTGCTCTCTCTTTTCAACCTTAGAAGAGATCTGATATCTCCAGTGGCTCCTGTCATGCTCTCTTCTGGACTGAAAGGTTGCATCTGCAGCATAATTTAAAAGAAATCATTATTGACATTAATCAAAATCTAAAACAAATTTTGATTTTTTAAAAAATGTTTTACTGTCATACATTATTTTGTTTATGATTGACATCAATTGTTGTTACCAGGGTTGTTGCTCTTTAAATTATTAGTCTTCACAACCTTTGCCAAAAAAAAAAAAAGCAAATGAGACCAAGAAAGAGCTAGAAAGTAGCCTAAATGTAACTGTTAGTCCTTACTAGAATAGACCCATTGAATCCATGGGATCTACTAAGTTCTGACTTAACACATATAACTAGCTGGGCCCAAGAATTGGAATTAGAGACTCGAGTAAACATCTTGTTTGCTTTCTTATTTCTGGTGTTAACCACTAATAGTTTAAGGTTTAGCTGACCTAGAAGCTCTAAGAGCCTGGGAAAAGATCAAAGTTGAATAAATAGAAGACCCACATGAGCCATCTAATCCAGCCCCCTTCCATACAGGAGAAGCACAATCAAAGTACCCCCGACAGATGGCCATCTAGCCTCTGTTTAAAGGCTTCCAAGGAAGGAGCTTCCACTACACTCCGAGGCAGAGATTTCCTCTGCTGAACAACTTGCACAGTCATTTTTTTTGTATTTTTGGGGGTTTTTTTGCACAAGCTGAAAAAAATATATCCCACTAAGAAAGCTATTAAGAGAGTACATTTGTCCATTGGCTGGCTTATCAAGGGACGGATGAGAGCAGGCAAATAAGCATGCCTCAGCTGGTTGAATGATAATGATGATTATGGAGAAAGTCACACAAATAAAGAAACTGGATGGGATGCTACTGTTGTCTAGTGGCTGTAATGTAGTCATTTTTTTTCCAGATTTTACCTGTGAACCTACTAGTTAGTTCTCAGTGAGACACTATTTTGCATCTTCTACCTTTGTTCTTCAACATGTAAATAATGAGGATGATCACTAGCCCTGAAGAGATTACTCAGTTGTCTGATGCATCCCTTAATTGATGTCTTCTAGTTCAGTTTCCTATGGAGTCAGATGTTGGAAATTGGGCCTCTGCCCAACATTAAAATGTACCACAATGCCCCAAAGTGATGCTACATCCCATACGTCAGCCCATTTAGGACATGTATGCAGTTTCCCAGTTCCAGCTACTGTTGATATGTCCACAATCTAGAAAAAAAATGAGTTGGAGGAACAAACCCAACCAGGCAGTTTTACCAGACGTACAATCCCAGCATTCAGCAGAAGGTACTGATTGAGTCCTAGACTGATACAAATATGAAACATATTGGACAAAATCATACATAGTATATCCTACACCAAGCCTAGTGCATTTTCATCTTCCTTGCTATACCGCTATGTCTTGAATGAGTTAAAAAAATGAGGAGTTTCATGTAGCTCTTTTAAGTTACCATGCATAACTGGTACCCATTCATTTTGCATGGGTGCATTAATAGATGTGCAAGCTTGCCTCAAATTATTATACAATTTTCACATATTGTTACTAACATGTACACATATACACACAGAGATACAAACATATTAATAATTATGGACCTAGAACTTCACAATCCGGCTTGACAACAGATGTTAAAAGGTTAAATCATTTTAGATTAAAAAGTGAATAACTTTCTTTTGCTAATCTCAAATAAAAAGTCCCTTTAACACAAAGGACAATGATAACCTTGCTTTTGTTAAAACCAGTGCATGCCTGATGCTGTGATGAAGCTCATGTGCTTGAGAAACCCATCCTTGTTTTGCACATTGTCCCCTTCTCCTCTGTAGTGTCACTTTTCAGTTTGGTTTTTTATTCCATTGCTTCCCCCAGCCTGAGATAAGCATGTTGAAGCACTTTCTTTACATGTTTCAAATGTTAAAATTCTGAGATTAATATTTGTGTGGATGGTGATCGTGTGATGGTGGTGGTGGTGGTGATGATGATGATGATGATGAACTGTTAAAAGGCAATCTCATGTGGGATCTAAAAAAAACTATATCAGCAATCTTACATATTCCTAGGAAGCATAGGGGTGAGGTGGGAGGTCATTGATATATGTTGTCAGTTGAGAAGAGAAGCTGGTGTAAGCATTTTTGTATTGTTGACCATATTATGCAGTAAGTTATAGAAAATGTTTCTATATGATAATGTTTAATATATATATATTTGAAGTTGTGATTACTACTACACATGGGTATCAGTGGGGGTGTACCATCCATGTGCCCACCTGTCATTTATTCAGTCATCTACACGTGCCAGCCCATCCAGTCATTCATTCATTTCCTAATGCATCAAGAAAGTCTTATGTCAGAAGACCTCATAAAAATGATGAGTGAAAGGCTAGATAGCTGTCAAAATGTAACATGATAAATTGATAGATGCTTAGTTGGGTGGGTCAATCTATCAAAAAGACAAGAGACAGAGGAGCTATCTGCCAGCTATAATGGACCTCCAGTGGAATAATTTACAATTAATGCAATGGTTGAAATTTCGGAAGGTTAGGTGTCCTTGAGTCACAATTCCATCTCTAGAAAGGATATAATTAAGTATTGAAAGGCTGTTTGATTTGTAAAGGAAGATAAGAGGAAATGCAAACCTTTTTTGCAAGAAAAGTTAAGATTGTACAGTGTGAAGACAAATAGATACAAAGAGGTGAAGCATATAGGATAAATTTACAGTTCAAGTGGATTAATTTGCATAGTCCAAGTGAATTATTTCTGTAATTTTCAATACCAATGCAAGGCCAATTGTCCCATTAAATAAACTACCATATGCACTTTTATTTAGAATCAGAACCCATTGAAAACAATACCATGTACATCTGAGTAAACATGCCTAAGACTGTATTCTGTTGA